TGCAACTCTATTAGCTTGGCTATTAAAATCACGAGGACAAACTGTTTCTTCCCTTGATACAAAAACTGTTAGGCTGCATCATGACCCAGTACCAAAAATTTTTGAATCTCTCTCCACTTTACAAAACGTCGGCTCATTGCTGCAGTCTGGAGTGAAGCTGTTTACAGCTCTGTGCTAAGTGGAAAGTTCAAATCAATTATTGTCCATTAGAGTTTAGGTATAACTGATGAAATATCCCCAGAGGAGTGTTGTAAATGTATCAAGACGTCCTTCCCCATTACAGAAATGGGGACGCGTGGTGAATTACTTACCTTCTCTCTTACCCTCAATGCCTCTGAAATGCTGCTGGGCATACAGAGCTTATCTTGTCTTGCTAGGACTTAAGTGAGGACTGCACCATACTATGTGTATGTATGGTAAACTAGGAAAATGCCAGGTACCAAAACACCTTGGCTCCAACTTATCCATGTGCTTCACTAGACTTTTCTACCTCTATACGAGAGCCAGGAAGCAAAATATTGAAGGAAAACACAGTAAACCAATTAAAATTGCAGCTGAGATATTCCAAACGGAGACCTCAGCGATACAGTTCCTTTTAAAAATGAATGACAATTTTTTGCTTGGCAAACCAAATATTAAATTCATGCATTCATATTTTTTTTTACTGAAAGAACTGTACAATTAAAGGCCAAGTAATGGATGCCAGGAACCTCATTCTGAGCGCTGTCACTTAACATTGAGGCTCAGCAGGGCAAATAAAAGGCAGTTGCAACAGGCCCCTTAGTACTGAAGTGTGAGAAGAACAGCGCTAATTTCTCAGGGAATGTTGTATAGCTGCACAAAAAGAAAGGATAGTGCAACCAAGGGATCTCTGGCCTATCTGTGAGAAAACTGCGGGAAAGGAGAGAGTCTGATTTGTGATGGAACATGACAGAAAATGGAAGATAGGCCCTTGGCTTCCTTTAAAGGTTGCCTGTAATTGCTCTCCTTCTCTAGTTCTGGCCCAGTGCAATCATCATGTCAGTGAGACTCTGAGTTTCAAATACACAGTTGCTCATCTTGTTATGGAAGTCTTGGTATTATTCCTGAGAGTGCTGTATTGTTGCTGCTTTTTTTTTTTCGTAGACCAGAGAAGAGACAGAGAAAGGTCAAGGAGACATCATCCTCCTATATCAACCTCTCCCATTCTTCATGTGCTCAGGTGGGCAAGATGCTTCTTTGTTGTAAGCTGACCCTGTTCAGCACCAGTGACTGCCCTGTGGGTAGGCAGTGGGGCACAGAACTAACCTGACTGTCAGTCATAAAGAGGATAAAAAGCATCTTTAAAATGCAACATTGATTTTTTTTTGTGTTCATTATTCCTTTAACACCAAGGATAACACCAAGGATGTTTCTTCTTGCTGACAGCTCTGTCCGTGGTACTAAGTAGAAAATTGGCTTTATTTCTTCTCTGGGGCCCATACTGTTTTCCTCCAGCTCTGTTGTGTGTTCCAGACATCTATCTATAGAGATGCTAATCACTGTACTGTAAATCTAGTTAGGATGAAAGCACAGCTTTCAAGATATTTGAGACCACATTTCTTAGGGATTACCCAGATAACAGAAGATAGCATGTTGCTTTTACCTCATCATATATCAAGTTAATCTGGTACTTTTTTTAAGTCGGTAGAAAAGATGTCCTCTGGTGTCTATTTCTTCATTTCTAAATCATTATTGCCTTCTAAGACAGTGTTTTCTGGAGAGGTGTCATCCAATAAGAAAATACTGTGCCCATGCCATGTTTTGGGTGCAGTCGCCATTAATGACACACCATCACTAGGTTTCAGTAGCCAGGAATTTAACTCAGATTATCTTCCATTTACCCTATTAGTCTCTTACACAATGCCTGTAGCATTGGCCCATTGAACCCATTATCTATGGTGGGTATTTTCTTCCCTTTGCAATTGTATTTATACTACCTGAACTCTCCAGGTATTTTGGCAACTATTCAGATTGTCTGATTGCTGCTTCCATGCCTTTTAGTAGGATTACTTTCTTTGCAGAGTTTGAAATTTAAATTGAATTTCAAAGAATCTAGTTATTTCAAGTGGATTGATAAGTCCTGTGTAGTAGGCACTTGTTAAGTCTTTATTGCATGGATTTTAATTGAATTCTATAAGAAAATTGGTATTAGCCAAAATGGTATTAGCCAAATTGTCAAATTTGCCACATGACTTAAGTGGCATAGTGCTAGCAAAAGTCCAGGCCCAAATTTTTTTGTGGAAGGGACACAGCACAACAAAAGTAACCTAAATTTGGCTGTAGTGAAGACACACCCACACAAGCAATTTGTATCTAGGTTCATTATCCTGCTGCTTTTTTTTTTCATAGAAAAATCATCCCCTCTGTTCTATTGGTTATATTTCTCCTTTCTGAGGCATTGTGCCCCCATAGTATAATATTTAGATGTCTCACCTTAAGAATAATCTCACCATACAAAAACAGATTTTGTTTTTCCTGCCTCAGGTCCATAAATACAGTACTAAATTCTATCCATTCTTTCCTAACATACTGCACTGGGAACTCCTATATTTGCCCTGATTTAAAGGGTGTTACTGACTTTCATGTTTCTTCTTGCCATTATTTATGTATTGGTTAATTTCCTGAGACTTTATTTTCATTTTCAAAAGAAAAGTTAGTATATTTCAAGCCAGGGAGGTTTCTTTCTTAAAATTTCCAGGGGATTGGTATTTTTAATGTCATATGAGGACAGCATTACACAATGGGTCTTTGGCAGGGATACACAGAAATGAATACCGTGTGCGAAGAAACATTAAATGGCATCCTTAATTACAGAGTTTCACTCTGGTTTTTTTTTAATGCCCTTCAGTTTTACGATTCTATGGGGAAATGCGTCAACATGGTTATTTTCTTCCTACCCTAGGTTATTAAGGATTGATCTAGCCCAAGCCCGGAGAGCCTGTTAGATGATTCTGATCAGATAGGTCTAACATTTCACCCACTAGAGGGCAGTGGTGACACACATCCTCACTAAGCAATATGTGCAGCATATGGTTGATGTGGAAACAGAGTAGCCATAGCTTTCGTGTGTGTACAAAAAATTCCCATTACTCTGTTGCTTCACTTATAATTATATTGAAAGTAAACATTAATTCACAGACGGGGCTGTGCATATTTTATTTCAACATACCCCACTAGTGTTTTGTCTGTTCTAGCTTTAAAATGCCCTGAGTACTAAAACTTCCACGACTTCCCCTGGGAGGCAATGTAAAAACCCAACTGTTTTTACCGCCTGAAATTTTTATTTGTATTCAGTCTAAAATCCTCTTTCTTCAGCTTCACTTCAGTCTCTGTTCTTAGTTCCATTATTCCCGGTAATAAAGCTTTGTCTCAGGCTAATTAATCAGTCTCCCTCTGAATTAAATCCATGATTGCCATTTACAGAGGGCCGGGAAAACACAGTACTTTAATGGTACCCGTCATCACAGTGTTTGGATGATTCAGAAAACTCAAGGGGATGTCCCTGGAGTTCAAGAGCCATTGGCCCTGAGTTCCATATGCACTGATCCCCATAAAGTCACTAGTCTTGGGAATACATGTATGTGTACTTTCATAAGTGTTCGGAAGTTATAATGTACATCAGTGCCGAACGTCACTGTGAGCAGTGCAAAATTAGAATCAAATAAATTGTTGACACCCATCAGCCACAAGGCAAACAGACCTTCAGGTTTGTAATCGTGGGCATCTCTATACCTATTTATGTAGAACAAGAAATGGCACTGCATTACCCACAAGAAGGACAGTAAACCCATTATTAATCTCATGGTTAACCATTTCAAGTTGGTTTTAGTTCATGTTATTGTAGCACTAATTCATTGACAGTGATAGGACCTCTACATACTGCATATGCCATAGGATACAGGCAGTTTCAGAAATTAAATGGGAAGAGAGGCTAGAGTTCACATGTGAGATAATGATGTGCATGATCAGTTCCTTGGCATATGTTTGACTTGTTTAGCATCCATGGGGAAGGGTGGTAGGAATCAAAGCCAAGAAAGTTCCTTTAAGGCTAGTACTCACAATTAAGCAGTTGTTAAAAGTCCTTTTTTTCCTTTACCTTAGAGACAAGGCAAGATTTTCTGCTCTATTGGATATGTTCAACGGGAAGAATTTCTTTAGGGCTGACCTGTTCACTGAGACAAATTTCCAGACAGACACATATGCAAACAACGGCTGTTTCTGTGCTGGCAAAGCAAAGCATGGGACTTTGCAAAAATTCTAGAAACTGCACTGGCATTTTTGCAACCCAACTACTGGGCTTGTGTAGTGTCCTAATCTCCAAAATGTTTACAAATAATGTTCTTTGTCAGTTAAAAAAAAAGTATCTAGAATGTGGTTTTATAGATCTTCTTTCCAAAGGAAACCAAAATAGAAAAGTACAAAACTTTCATCAAAGAAATCCACACAACACTGTAGTGCAGGCTTTCTTTTTAGAAAATGAGTTTCAGATTTAAAATTTATGTCACCTGTAGTCAAAGCCATGAGGCTATTTTGTATGGAAGTAATTAAGTGCAAATGTGCAGCAGCCATTTTTGTGGGGTTTTTTGTTTGTTTGTTTACTTCAAAATGCCAGAGGTGATTAGACCATATTATGGACTAATTACTTATTTAATTTATTTAAGTTGAAACGGGTTTTTGAATTATACAAGAGCAAAAACAAGAACTCATTAATCCTTCCTGAACATTATTGAAAAGAACAAAACAAAGAAGTTAACACATTTGTTTTGTTACATTACAATATACCAATATTTTTTAACACTGGTGATGATCCAAGTGGTCAAAACATCTGTATTCATTAAAAAAAAATAAAACAAAGACTCTTATCTCTTTCTTCTCCTTCTCCTCCACCTTCCCTTTCTTCTTCTTTTCTCCTTTCCCCTTCCCTTTTCCTCCTCTTCTTCTTGTTCATTTTGTCCTCATTCTTTTTTTCTTCTCTTCCTCTTCCTCTTCTTTCCCTCTCCCCTGAGCCACTCCCTTCTTCTGCTTTTCTATCTCCTCTCCCATTGATCCATTCAATGATATGTTGCAGTCCTAAGGAAATTACCAAAAGTGAAGATACAAACCTCGGAATGCATTCTTTAAGCCTGGTTTCCTATGGAAAGCTTAAACAGCTCTTCAAACACAGTTAAATACAGTAAATAAATAACCTAAAACACTCAATATTTTCTTAAATTTGGAATTAAACCACAGTCTTTCTGGGGCTTAGGATTCTGAACACCAAGTTTCAGACTGGAGCATATTTTGGTATTTTGATGGTTGAGTTATAACCTCCTGAAAAGAGGGAGTGATTGTGTACAGTAAGGACGGCTGCCCACTAAACTACAACTGAGCTGCTAAAATAAAACCTGTATTGACTTGTGACTATTGACAAGGAGATGTGAAACCAAGCGATCTGTCCTGGAGACCGTAAAGAGAAGCACTGTCTCAGCTTTGTGGTTTCTTTTTCTACCTCTTGATCTGTACTCTCCCAGATTCTAGTGACACAATGGCACAGTGGGGCAAAGAGTAATTCTGGACCACTAAAATGGCTGCACATATGAGGAGTTGATGGAGGATGGCACAGGACCATTAGAATCAAAGATAGAAATGAGAAGACTAGGGGCCAAACTCTGCCAAATGTAACTGGCCATTAACTGATGTAGCTATATCGAATCAGGTCTCTTTTTAGCTAATAGCACAGGAGTGTTGCTGAAGGATGCAAAAGCTTTGACACCACCAAATATTCAAGGGTTAGTTTGGATTGTTTTTAAGTGTTCTATCAGACTTTTTGGGCACATTTTAATACACAAGTCTCATTTTGGGGAAGCAGTCTGCATTTTCAGGGTACCTGACTGTTAAGGACCATGGTCACTGGCTTGGCCTTAGACTGGGATGGTACCTTATTCTCAGAGATGCAGCATCACAGTCTCATCTCCCTGAGAGCTTTCTGGCTATGAGCACTATGGTCAGAAAACTATACACATGCCACAGCTCTTCAGTGAGGCTGGTTTTGGTTTTGTGTCTTTGTATCCCTGGCACCTGAGATCTAGATGGCACAGTGGATAGAGTGCTGGATCTGGAGTTAGGAAGATTTATTTTCTTGAGTTTAAATCTGGTCTTAGTCTCATACTAGCTGGGTGACCCTGGGCAAGTCACTTAACCATGTTTGCTTCAGTTCCTCATCTGTAAAATGAACTAGAAGATGACAAACCATTCCAGTATCTCTGCCAAGAAAACCCCAAATGGGGTCACAAAGAATCAGACACAACTGAAAAATGATTGAACAACAGCAATCCCCAGCTCCTCGTTCGGTGCCTTGTACTCAGAACGTGCTTAATAAATGTTTGTTGAACAATCAGGACGCATAAAATGTTGCATAAAAAGGACAAATCCAAGGGTCCAGCTTCAGGGCCCATGCTGGCCAGCCATTCCCACTATGTCACTGGGCCTCTTCTTCACTTCTTTAATGCTATCAGCAATCTACAGGACATCACAGCCAGTCTCAGCCCCGCTCCAAAAATAAATATAGCATCAGCTTTCCTTCTGCCTTCTTGTCTTAGGCTATCCCAACTAATTGCAACCTCAGATTAAACATTCAGGTAAGATCAGCCTATGTAACTCGTCCCAGTTGTTCTCTGTAGACCCAGCAAGGCAGAGACATCTGGAGAGGGTTTCCACTGCAAAGGCATGTAATTTCCCTTTAAATCACTGGGTATCGCACACATGGGGAGAGTTTGTGCCCATTTTCTAAAACAAAAATGTTTTAATGCTTGATAGATACCTGTAATTGCTTAGCACGGTGCCTGGATAGATAGATAGATAGATAGATAGATAGATAGATAGATAGATAGATAGATAGATAGATAGATAAATAGATAGACAGACAGACAGACACACACACAGATACATAGATAGATAGATAGATGCATGGATAGATGGATGGATGGGTGGGTGGGTGGATGGTATTTATTGCTTGTTGTTTGTTGTTTTTACTAGTTGGACTTGAAACTGGAAGGAACATCTAGTGCAAAGCTCTTATTTTATAGGGAACCAACACTCAGAGAGAGGTTATGTGACTTGTGCAAGGTTGCTTCAGTAATGAAGTGGGAGCACTGTTCTGTTTTATTTCTGATTTGGTTTTCTCATGCACAGTATAGAAACAGAAATAGCTGCAATTTACTATAATGTAAATGTCTTAAACGGCAGGAGTTATTCTATATTCTCTAATTCTCTTATCTTTCTTCTTTCTCAGGGCTGGTCATACAGGACTTAGAACATAGTAAGTTCTTAATATCAACCCTATTCCCCCCCCCCGTCTCACACACACACACACATACACACACACCCACGCGCACACACACGTAGTACTGGAAGGTTTACAGTATTATTGCTTTGCAACAACCTTATGAAACAGGTAGCACAAGTATTGTTATCTCTGTTTTACAGCTAAAGAATCTGAGGTTCATAGACTTGGCAAAGTCTAATAGTGTCAAAATCTGGATTCAAACTCAGATCTCCTGGTTCCAAGTCCACCACTCTTTATCCTACACCATATTGCCTCCCTAACAAGAAAACTTAATCCTCTAATATAAACTTCCAGGACTGGTTCTCTGGTTTTAGTGGAGGTAATACAAGAAACCAGGAAGCACACCCTCAACTGGTTTGACAGTATAACTTCCGTCCTATACAGAATGGCCACTGCTGATCCACCATTACTGGGATGTGTGCTTTAGAGTACCACCCCAGTGGTACTCATAGTCTGAGACCTCCACTGTCTCTGACCCAGACTATTTCATAACCTTGATTAGATAGAAAGTAGAGAAAAAGCATCACGGTTCCTATGGCTAAGAAACCATTTTTCACTGGGCAATATGGGATCGCAACACTTGAAAACATCATTCACTTAAGAGAATTATGTGTGCTGAGCATGGTAACACATGCCTGTAGTCCTTGCTACCAGGGAAGCAGAGGTTGGTGGATTGCTTGAGTTTAGGAGTTCTGAGCTGCAGTGGGACTAAAGCTGAATGATTGTCCTCACTAAGTCTGACACCAATATAATGAGCCACCCGAAGCTCCATTCAGAGAAGGAGGGAGGAAAGGGGGGGGGAGTGGGGAAGGGAAGGAAAAGGAAGGGAGTGGAGAGAAGAGAGAGATGTGTGCAGTGTGGCCAACATATCTAAAACCAGCACAAAATGACACACCTTGACCGTGTCAGAACTATTATTAAGCTGTCACCTTGCTCCCTTGCCCTCCATTTTCTTAAACCCTCATCTAGTCTTGAGATTCTTCAGTTTGGTTCCTTCTTCTCTGTGTTTAGCCACTTTGTTCTCTCCATGCTCCAGTTCCTACTCCTTCCATTGGCATGAACACTTCAGGTCCTGACCTTCTAATTTGTAAATGTTCTACACCATACCCTGACTATGACCTTGCCTTTTTTGATTATTTACTTCAGCTTCACTGCCATCATCCCCTACATACATACCTTCCTCAGGAACCTCTGTGCTTAATTTGGAGCTGGGAGAAACCCGGGTTTCTAATGATAACACTTTTGTGGATACTTTTATCCAGGGTACTTTAATTAGTCATTCAACAAATATTCCTTGAGCACCTACTATGTGTACACTGTGCTAATGACACAATGATATGGCAATACTTTGGTCATCTGTGATTGTGTAGACGTGGGTACTCATTCTCCCAGCTTAGGTCACAATGCTTTTTTATAAATTAATAAGACTTAGGGAGTTACCTGAGACTCAGAGAGTTTAAGTGACTTGCCCATACTCACACGTTTAGTGAGATTTGCATCCATGTCAGTCACTCTATGCATTATATCATTCTGCCTTTCCATGGTAGGGACACACACACACACACACACACACCCCTAAACTAAATAATCATAGGACATAGAATAAAACAGGAAAGGAGCTTAGTGGTCATCTAATTTAATCCCTTCTTTTTATAGATGAAGCAACTCGGGCTGCACTCAAGGAAATAATATTCTGTCATTGGTATAGATACAGATACAGATAGGAAAATACAAGATAGGTAATGATGGTGGCAAGAATATGATCAGACAAAATGCTCTAGGAAAAAATGAGGAAGGAAAGAACTCTTTAAACTGGAAGGAATCAAGGAACACTTCCCTCACGTTTGAAACTGCAGTTGGCAGGTGTTACTGAGTCTACCTTCACAATATCTCTCACCTATATCCCCTTTTCTCCATCTATCACCTTGCCCCTAAGCTTCAGCTCTGCGTCATCAGTTGCCCATTGAGCATTTCAAACATCTCAGACTCAACATGTACAAAACTGAATTCATTATCTTTGCCCCACCAAAAAACCCTCCCCTTTTCCAAACTTTACGATTTTGTCGAAGGCATCGCCATCCTTCTAGGCTTCTAGGTTTGTAACCTCACCCCACAAATATGATCGATTGCCAGATCTTGCCATCTCTACCTTCACAGAATCTTTCACATCTAACACTCTCTACTCGCACAGCTATCACAGTGGTTCAGGCCCTGATTGATCTCTTCTCACCTAGGCTTCTGTGACAGCCTCCTAATTGGTGTCCTTGTCTCAAGGCCTTTCCATCCCTCTCCAATGCCCCCGCATGTTTTATTCTATGTCCCATGATTATTTAGTTTAGGGGTGTGTGTGTGTGTGTGTGTGTGTGTGTGTGTGTGTGTGTGTGTCCCTACCATGGAAAGGCAGAATGATATAATGCATAGAGTGACTGACATGGATGCAAATCTCACCTAAACGTGTGAGTATGGGCAAGTCACTTAACTATCCCAAATTACCTTAAATTGAACAACTTCATTTATATTTATATTAACTTTATGCTATTTATATGTTTTCATATATACATTTCACTTGTTAGAATGAAACCTCTTTGGTAATAGGAATTATATCATTCTTTGTATCTTTCGTGCCTACCATAATGCCTAGTGTGTAGTAGGGGCATAATAAATATGTGGTGATTGCTTGATTGATTCTTGCAGTAGACTCCCAATTAGTCTTCCTACTTCTATTCTCTCCTCTCTAATCCATCTC